AATTGGATCTTAAGGATTATTAGAAAAACAGCAACCACCAAAATAGCATATATCTAACAGTAATCTTCAGCTTTAGGTAGATGTAGAAGAAACTTGAATTTTAGTAACACTGTTTAACTCTTGTAATACGTATTCTCCAACTTACCTATTACTGACCTTGTTTTTAGCAAATGCTTCAATCTCAAAGTACACAAAATATTCAGAACTACTGTCAGTTTTTCGAAATGAGAAAGGTGATACTGTAAGATTTTTTTTTTACATCCCCAAATTTAGCATTTCTCGACTTAATCTATTTAAAAGAACTCTATAAAACATGTTATATACATGTATATATTTGTATTAGAATTTGTAATTTTGCTAAGGCAGAAATTTGGAACTCTGCAAAAGGCCTCTGTTAGATTGAGGTCATTTAGTGAATGATACTTCTTAATAAACCTGCATTCATGATTCAGAGTGGTTATAGTTTTCAAGTACATTGACCTATCATTAAGGTTTTTTCTTTGTTACACTTCATAGAAAAAATGATAGCAAGGCTTGAGGGTTCGTAAGAGTCTTAGGCATAGTTCTCAAAGATGTTACAGTTCTAGGGTTGGTAGAATAGTTGAGATCTGGAAAGCATATACATTTTACATGGCACTAGAACTTCTTGAAGGTCAGAAGAAATGAGGTCAGAATATTGAGCTTAGTATTTATAGTTATCCTTTAAATCCTTATTAATAACATCCTGTTTCTTTATTCCTCAATAGTAGTCTCATTTCACTTTCTGTCAAAATAATTTTGTTTTAAAATCCAATTTTTATCTTACTATTATAATTATCACCTTTCCTTACAAAAATAAGTACTCAGGACACTTGTACATTCTATAATGTCTTATGGTATGTAGGTAGATGTAGTGAAATGTAATACTCTCAGTGTAGTTCCATATTTTCATTCTTCCTATGTTGTACCTATATTTTATCATCATTTTTAAGGAGAGCTCTAGCTGTGTATGAGTAAAAATAAAATCTCTGAAAACAAGGGAATCACATATATTAAGATTTAGGCAGTTTAAGAATGCCCTTTTTAATACTAGAGATAGGAAAGAAGCCATATATTCAAATGTGTAATTTCCTTCCTTTAGTTACAATGACTCATCACCAATTTGGCTTCATAAATGTGTTTCTTCTTAATAGTATCCCAGTTCCAGCTTATATTCAACATGAGTTTTATTCTCCTTCTAGATGGAGTGTCCTCCTTATAGAACTGTTCGCAACAAATTCATTTCTTTATATGTCAATAATGTACATTAAATTAGCTTTAAAATGTTCTCCAGTTACATTGTTAGCCAGTATTACGACATCCTTAATTTTTCTTTTCCTTCTGTATATAGGGTAAGGTACTATTCTTCTGAAGAACTTTTCCATTTAGTGATCAAGATAATGAAAGCTGATCTCTGAAAATGCTCAGATGTGTATCCTAATTGTTCATAATATCATGTGAATTGTAACTTGCATTTTAGCAGTGCATGTTCCCAGTCACAACTTATTGGGACACTTAATAAAATATGCCTATTGTTACTATATTGTCTCCTGGTTTTATCTTTGCTTGAGTTTGGATTTTCCTCACAAACATCATAACATGTTCAAATCACTAGGTGCAGAACAAGGGTAATGTTATATTAATGTTGCTGTTATGTATGTTTCTGCTTTGGTTTTCCTAGTAATGGAAACATAATAGGTGATGAGCTAACTCCCTCTTTTATAATAGTATGAATTGATTCATTGTCCATATGAAGCCTGACAAATCTTGGATTTTTATCCTAAATCTGCCCGTTAATTTTCTCTTTCAAGGAAATGTTTTGGGCTTTTAAAAACAGTGAATAAAGTAACAGCAACAGGGAAGTTATGTGGCTGTAAAGGGGTCAGAGCATCTGGTTTTATAGAATCCTGCTAGGATTGGAGGATAGGGGCTCAGAGCATCTGGTTTTACAGAATACTCTCACCCCAGCTAGAGCTAACCCCAACTCAGTGGCAAGTAAAGGCTAGTCTTGTTCAGTCCTGACTTTAAAAGAATAGGTCAGATTATTGGCTGGCCTTGTTAAGGCCTTAGTTGTAATTTGGGGGGGGGGGCCTATATAATCATCTAAAGTGCCCATGAGGTCATTGTAACTGGTCCATTCTAAGGAAAATAGTATGTAGAGCAGTGACTTTCAACCACTGCTGTGAGAGGATCTTAGATGTGCCATGACAAATTTTAAAGATCATTAATTATAATTATTTTCAAAGGAAGTTAAAAGCACATTTTTTTTTAACCAAAGTAAGTGTGCCACGGAAGTTTAACTATAAGCTTCAAGTGTGCTGTGAGATAAAGGTTGAACACCACTGATAGAGTGTATTGGTTGAGGACCTTGAAAGTCAGACTTGACCTCACAAAGACCCAACAAGGGACTCAGAATGTATTACTGGAGAGCTAAACGTACGAAAGTTAAGGGCAAACCAAGTTAATCTAAATTTTCCTGAACAGAATTTGTGTGTATTAAACTCCAGGTGTTTTTGTTCTTCAAAGATAATGGTAGAAGTTGGGTTCATTTTTCCCATTTCCCCCCCTCAGTGGTGACCTCTACTTTTCATTGAACCAAGTCTTTTCCTATGTTTATTTACAGGGTAAAGTTGAGATGGTACATCTCTAATCTCTACAAACTTCCCACTTCTGGTTGCTTTCCCATCTCCTATGCCTGTCAGTGCTGGCCTGCACGGAAATTCAGGGTTTGTGTTACTTATACTACGTCCTCGTACTTGGCAAGAAGCAGGACATTAATTTGTTAGGAATTATTTCTGTACTTTGAGTAAATTAGTTCAGCGGCAGCTCATTCTTGAACTTGTCTGCTTTCCTGCGTCATTCTTATCTCCCTGCTGTGTTTTTTTGAGTATCTGCTATACGCCGGATACTTTTGCACCTAGGTCATTTAATCAAGTGATTGTGAGATGAAAGCTACTCTCCAAATCAGAAAAGGTGAAGCACAGAGTGGTTAAGCAGACTTGCCAAAGGTGTTAGATCTGTTAAGTGGCAGACACTGGATTCAAATGAGACGTTCTGGTGGTAGAGCTGTCACTTCTAACCACTGTGTCATGCATAACAATGATAAAAATCCCTTAGTCATAATCTTAAAAATTAGGGGTATCTTCTACCTGCCCAGATACAGTAGTGAACAAAGCAGGCATACCCCTTTTGAAGGTTTTTACAAATAAAAATAACCATAGAAGTGGGGTGGGGGGATCTAGATTGGTAAGGAAGCTTGAATTGAATGGTTTACAAAGGGCTGGTAAAAACTAAGGGTCAGCACAATTTAAAAGGCATTGCAAGAGGGAGGTGCCTGTAGCTCAAAGTAGGGTGCCAGCCCCATATGCCGGAGGTGGTGGGTTCAAACCCAGCCCTGGCTAAAAACTGCAAAAAAAAAAAAAAAAGGAATTGCAAGAATGAGATTAAAAGTAGTTGATGGGAAGGAAACAGGTCACTGAGTTGGAATTGAGTGAAAATGTAAATCTGTGTTTTGTATTACAGTTTTATAAAAAGGATATACCACTTTGAATTAATGAGTATAATTCCATTATACTAAGGGAATCAATGGAACCATTGACCAATATTCTAATGCTGTGTTCTAGAATACTTTTTGAAATTAATTTAAAAATTAAGCATGCTGTGACCTGTTTCTAAAAAAACAATTTGACCCTTTTTCTAAAGTAGAAAAGAGCTACAGCTGCTTTCTTCAACATGTATTTGAATTAACCCTTAATTCATCTCATACCATCCCATAAATATTCCAACTCATTTGGGGATATGTTACATAGAAACTTAATAGGGGCTGTGTGTGGGGTTGGGTGGAGAGAGGTTATTTGGTACCTTTGGATAATATTTGAAGTCTTAATCATGTTATTTTTAAATGTTTAAAAAATTAATTTGAATTTACCAACTATCCATTAAAACTAAAGCACAATGTATCCCAAAATGTCCAAACCTCTGATCTACATATGTTGCCTCAAGTCAAAATTTTACTTTTCAAAGTGTGATCCAAGAACCACCTGCATTAAAACCATGTGGAATGTTGCTTATGATGTGTGTCAATGGGTCCCACTTCCTAAGATTTTGTTCAGTAGGCCTGCAAATAGAAGCCAGGACTCTTTCATTTCTTTCTCTGATTCTTAGATGCAGTAAAGTTTGTCAATCAGGTAGTTTCCCTTTTGCACCTGTTAATGAGTTATGCTTTAGCTATTTGAGAGTTTCAAACCAGGGTTAAGACTTAGAAACTTCAAAGTTCAGTAATGTGAGATTTGGGCTGCTCTGTGGACAATGATCTTACCCAATTTTTCACTTGGATAAGCTATCAGGTCTGAATGGAAGAAGATTATTTCATGCCCAACCCTACAGTTGGGGCACCAAAGAGAACTGATCGTCCTGTCATGCATGAGACAAAGAAAGGCCCGGGAAATGGAAAGTTTTAAGACTCTGGGAGGAGAAGGTCTTTATTTAACAGAGTAACTCGAGCTTTTAAGGGGAAGCAAATGCCCAAAGGCTAGGTCAAAATTTGTGGAGACAGGGAGAGGAAAAAAGGTACCAGAGTGATTAATACTTTAAAAATCTCGATAGAGGTAACTGTAACACTTGTGAATATAAAATAAGACACAGTAAAAAAATAACTACAGCAGCAATAAGTCAGTTACGCCATTTATCAATGATGGAATTATATTGGGAAACACTATAAAAAAAAAACAATCTTTTGAATAGTTTACTAAGTAAAACATTTCTTTGAAACATAACATGCAAAAGATTGTCAAATATGTCAGTATAGCAGCCCTTGGATTTATAGACAGTGGTGATTTTCACAAGTTCCACTCCCATATCATATCAAGCAATTGTTTTGTGTGATTTTTTGGTTTCTTTAATACTTTCATCTCAGAATAATGACCTATAGCTTAGCTGAGCTTCTTAGAATAGATTTGCTCACACTGAGATGTATCAAAGAGGTTATTTTTGGTCAATGGGTGAGTACTTATCCTTAGTAATAAATGAAGGTGACAAACAGTTTAACTTCTGAATATAGAATGGTCTATTCAACACTATATTTTTTCGGTAGAGTTTCTTTTTGGTCCTTGGTCCTTTAATTTCTTCCTTTAGACTGTCAGGAAAGGATAGAGGTACAGGTGAAACTGGTATTGGAGACCTCGGTGGCAGACATCTTGTTGAGACCATTTTAACTAGTGATTGAGTTGTTTGGGCAGTAGTAGGCTTGGATGAGAGTTCTTGACATGGACTTAAAATGGAACTTTTGGGATTCTTAAAATCATCGTAAGTTGCAATCAGTTGTTTTGTTGTGGATGAACTTTTTAGAGATGGTGGTCTAGAATCCCATTTATATTTGGCAGCATTGCTCCAATTCCATTTTAAAGTATTTTGTTCCAGCTTGCAAGAACCAGAATTTTTTCTTTTTTCTCGACTTTTGTCTATACAAGCCGTCTGAAGACTCAAAGAGTCGGAAAGTTTTGGCTGTCTCACTTTTGATATAGTCTTGGAGGAAGAGGGTCGTTCAGTAACTGCTGGAGCACAGAAAGTAGATTGTAATCTTGGCCTCTCTTTTTGTATAGTCATATGTTGTAATCTTTCTAGTTCCAGTAAACGAGTTATCAAGTTTTCAATAGAGTTTTCTGGAGGTTCCACTGTCGCTTTCCAATTTTCAGATTTTGAGAGGGCTAACTTGTGCAAGTCCAGAGAATTTAAAGGAGGAGGGAGAAAATCAGGGTATGGAAATACTTCATTGGGTTCCTCAGTGAAAGATTCTTCAACGTTTTCTATTGTTTCTGGCTTTAAGTTCAGGTCCATCTTCTTAAAATAGCTAAGTAAAGTATCACTTGCTTTCTCATTTTCTGATAAATCACTTTCATCTGTTAAATTTTCTTCCACACTACTGTTTCCATATTTCAAATTCCAATTTGGAGCAGATAAAGTTTCACCATTGTTGTTTTCTGTAGTTGAACATGAATTAATATGAAGCTCATTTCTGTTCTTAAAGTCTCCATCAGCATAGGGCCAGCAGAGACCTAATGAAACTGGCAATCCAAGATCAGGACCAGCTTGCTTATCAGTTGAAGCACTTGTCAATGAGTGGTTCAAAGTAAAAACCCTTACAGGATTACTGGTTACCTTTAAGCCAGTTTCCAGTGAAGATTTTTTGAATTCCCTTTAAAAAATAATTTAATTAATGAATGGTTTGTTGACTAGAACTTAAATGCTATTAAAATATGATTAAGTAACCTTTATCAAATCAGTTAATGTTTACTTCCCAAAGGCATATGTGTAGCTATCTAACAACAATATATTCATTTCAAGATGTCCTCTAATTACACATTAATTATTTAAATTTTGTTAGTATAGATTCAAATATTAACTAGGTATCCTTTTGGGCAAGCACAGGTGACTAGATGATGATACCTAGATACAAGGTTAAAAGTGGCTAACTATATCTATTTGCCTATATTATACATGTATGTGCAATTATAGTGTCTGAAAATGAAGCTGTCTAACTCAAACTCAAGTTACAGTGAAGTGTTTGTTAACCCAGAATTAGATAAAAGGAAACTTGTAAAGAATGTAGTTAGATTATTTAACAAAGCCTTCTGTTTGCCACTGTGATTTTTTAACTAAGAAAAGGAAGCAGGGCAGCACCTGTGGCTCAGTGGGTGGTGCGCCCAACGCATATACTGAGGGTGGTGGGTTCAAACACAGCCCCAGCCAAGCTGCAACAAAAAGATAGCTAGGCATAATGGTGGGCGCCTGTAGTCCCAGCTACTTGAGAGGCTGAGGCAAGAGAATTGCCTAAGCCCAGGAGTTGGAGGTTGCTGTGAGCTGTGTGACGCCATGGCACTCTACTGAGAGTGACAAAGTGAGACTCTGTCTCTACCAAAAAAGAAAAATAAAGGGAAGCAAACAACATATATCAAAACTTACCACAGATACAGTTCCAAGTAATTTTCATCTAATGGGCCTCTTCTATTTTAAGAATAATTCTTCCAAAAATTCTATCAAAATTAAACTGTAAAAATGTCAGGCCACAGAATACAAAATTTTTTAGATTTAAGAAAACTTGAAATATTGACATTGAAAGATTTCATGTATTAGTTGACATATAGTCTTGATATCTTCTAACTTCCTTTAAGGCCACTTTACAATAAAGATAAAAGTAATCTAAAAGGGTTCTGAAAAATACTTTCATTTACAGAAAATGATAAAAATGTATTCATTTAGCTAAATACTAGGTGTACCTTGCCTTCTAAAAACCACAGGAAAATCACCTTAAATTTACAATTGTTAGTAGACACAAGTCCACACAGTATAGTAAAACCACATGGACTCCAGAGGCAGAAGGCCTAGGCTTGAACCCCTGTGCCACAGGTGAGTGGGCAAAATGGAAATGATAATGCCTACCTCGGAGGTCGTCTGAGAAGTGAGACAATTTATACATATACACTTTAAGTTATAATTACTTTTATTCTTTTTACTTGATTATATATTGAAGAGAAAAAAAATTTTTTTTTGAGACAATGGGGTCTCCCTCTATCACCCAGGCTGGAGTACAGGGGCATAATCATACCAACCCTCCCACCTCAGCTTCCTAAGTAGCTGGGACTACAGGCATGCACCACCAGGCCTGGCTACTTTTTTTTTTTTTTTTAAGAGATGGGGGTCTCACTATGTTGCCCAGGCTGGTCTTAAAATCCCTGGCCTCTAGTGATCTTCCCACTTTAGCTTTCTGTGTAATTGGCATTACAGGTGTGTACTGCTGCACCTAGCTGAGAAAAATCTTAATAAAATACTTCACTGATTCCAAACTTCCATCTTCTGCAACATTATTAAGCAAGCCTACCTAATGTTACCTGCAAATACTTATCAAACACATTGTTTTATTTAGTCCTTACAACAACCTCATGAGACAGGTGCTTTTATCTTTCACCTTTTACAGATAAGAAAACTGAGGTAGAGAGTGGCAAAGTTCCCACATCTATTAAGTGATAAAGCTGGGATTTGAAGGGTGGTAGAATCCCATGCCTTTGATCCTACCCACTAAATTCTACTGAATCAATTTATATTTGCTTCTCTGCTACAATGATGAAATTTGTTCACTTCATTAGACCTCTTATCTTAAAATCCTTGTTCCCAGCTGAGTTCTGTCACAAAGAAATACCCTTTCCTGTCCCCCTCAGGGCATTAGTCACTGTGATTTCTTTTAGCATTTCTTGGTTTCTCCCTTGTATTTTAAGATAAGGTGAGCTTTACCCTAGGTCTCAAGGAGGAAAAATCCTCTGGCTAATAGATAGCTGCTATCAAGTGAACTCTATTGCTAAAAATAGATAAAGTAAAGGCCTGGAACTCAGGATCCATGACACAAAGCAGTGTTTATTTAATAAGTATTATTAATTTTCAAATGCTAGTAATCTATATTTTCAAGAGGCATTCTAGTTTGTTCTAATGTACAATAAAGTTTAAAAACCAAAAAGTAAGAAACCAAACCTAGGTAAGGCCTATAGTGGCTATGGGCATGGACCAAGCTTTTAAGGCCTGATTCTACCATTGTTAATTGGTGTCGCTTTGGACAAGTTACTTGCCACCATGCTTTAATGTCCTCATCTGTAAAACAGGATGATGATAACAGTACCTACTTTATAAGACTGGTGTGAGAATTAAGTTAATACACATAAGCAATTAAATAGTTCCTGGCATATGGAACAGTAGTTTAAATAGTTCCTTTCCCTTCAACAAGTCTAAACTCTACCCATCTTAACCTTCACTGTAAGGGCACAGTAAATCCTTATCTCTTACCCACTCTGATTATCTTGTTCTGTCTGCAGCCACTTCCTAGCTTAGGGCGAATTTCTATTGTTTTCCATTATTCACACACAATAATTTTTCTCCTGCCTGTTTGTATCCTCCTTGTATTTTGAGTTAAGTTAGCTGTATTTAAATTTATTTCAGTAATTTAGGGTTTTACAAAAATAAATATTCTCTTACTTGTTCTCCATAGTACTTCCTTCAGTAAGAGGATAACTCCATAACTGAAATATCCCTTGTTTACTATTCTGAGAATAGAAAATTCATTAACAATATTTTAATAACTATAAATGATTTAAAGATAGTATTTTATCAGTATGATGAATAAAATCCCACTTGTCTTGTGAACAAGCTCTGACAAATTAAGTTCCAGAATCAGTTACTTTATTGGAATTTCTAAATGGATCTATAAAGCAGCAGAAGACACTTAAATTTAAGCACAGTATATTTCTGTTCCCCATTCTCATTCTAACCAAGGCATATAAAGTCCAACGATATTCCCTTCATACATATGGAAATCATTTGTTTCTACTGATTTCAACAGGAATCAGTTATATTAATTAGATTATGCTGATCTAATTAATGGTGTTAATCTAATTAATATGATCTATTATAAATACCAAGTAACCAGGGCTAATGAGCTTTGAATATCATTAATAGTTTTTATTTTATAGTTGTGTTTTCTATTTTGATCAAAAAAGGTATATAAAAAGATTCATTTTCCACTACTTCAAAATAAGATATTAACCATTCCAACTGCTTCAAGACATCCTGAGTGCTCAGACTACTTCCCCTTTGGCAATGACTATAAAAGACTATATTCACTAATGTACAATAAAGTTTAAAAACCAAAAAGTAAGAACCAAACCTAGTGTCAATTACCATTTATAGTATTGTTATCTTGAAAACACCTATTATAACAAAATATTAATTCAAGGACAAATTGGTAGCCCTGTGAAATAGTAAAGACTTGTTTGAAAATTCTACAGAAATGAAACTTAGGGTTAACTTTGAGGAAGAAAAGTTTTTCAAGAACATACATATACTTTTAAAACAGTATGTTTTGTGAATAATTTAAAACCAAATATTTATCCTTACCTTGTTAATTTTGCCTGAAAGAATGTGCATGAAAAAAATGACAATTAATAGTTACATAAAACTGGTTATAGTCAAGACAAATCCCCTTTAATATGGGTGATTATTCCAGTATAAATATGCACATCTAGGATTTCTTACCACCTGCTGCACTATCTCGTCCAGGTGGGAGGTTTTTATTTTCAGAAACTGGTACTTCTGAATCCAAATTCCAGTGAGATAAGTTCTAAAACAATATTTTTTTTAGGATAAACTTTAACATTAAGAAAACTTAAAAAGTTCAAATACATATTTTTACGTGTTCTTTGGGTAAAGTATGACAAAAGGCACAAAGCTTCGTGACCCCCTCTCCCTCATTATAAGAATTTAGAATATGATCAGCATCTTTGAAGGGAATATAATTTGCTCTTATCAAACCATTATTAACTTGATAATACCTATTATTCAGGAAATAGACTTTTATAATAATTTGTGCTTTCATTCTCATTTTGGCAAAAATAATGATACAGGATTTGAAAATTGATTTTTAAAATGTATTCTAATGAAATGTCCTCTTCAGTGTGTCCCTGCTACACAAGGGCACATTCATCCAGTCTGCTGTATCTGAGTACTAGATCTGACAGCCTATAAAAGTCTTTCCATTGATCACAGAAAATCTCTAATCCTTACATTATGTTTGACACTAACTAGCCCACTACTTATTCTAGATTCCAGATGTTGAGAAACACTTGGGAAAGACTCAAAAGAAAGCTAAAAAATGAATGAAAGGGAAAGGTACTAATTTTTACTGAGTATTTATGTTTCACACATTGTGTAGAATTGTATAGGAGGAAAATGTAAGATGGCTGTCAGGAAGGATTGTAATTTATTCGGGAAAATGAAAAGTTAAAAAGATGATTAGTTTATATGAAAGTAATTTCTTTTTTGGAAACAAAGTCTTATTTTGTCACCCTTGATAGAGTGCTGTGGCATCACAGCTCACAGTAATCTCAAGCTCCTGGGCTCAAGTGATTCTCTTGCCTCAGCTTCCCAATTAGCTGGGACTACAGGTGCCGACCACAACACCTGGCTATTTTTTGTTGCACTTGTCATTGTTGTCTAGCAGGCCCAGCCTGGGTTCAAACCCACCAGTCTTGGTGTATATGGCTGGCGCTGTAACCACTGTGCTACAGGCGCCAAGCCTGAAAGTAATTCATCTCTACATTAATACAGCATGGGGATTTAATTTACCCATAAAGAATAGCAAGGGTATCTCCTAATAGCAAGGGTAGTCCAACATTAGAAGTGACACCTTTTTCTGGAGGCTTTTGAATAATAAAATTGATTAAATTGATTCTCTCCTCTCTGGAATAATATGTATCAGGTTTAATCTATACACTATAATCACCAGGGGGAGGTTTTTAGAAATAATAGTTGCAAAAAAACAAAATACTACAGATTCAGTGGGATGAAGATGAGGTCTAGTTAATTGTAGTTTTCACCCTCTCAATGGATTCTCAAGCTTCTTTCAGCTGTGTGATCCTGGCACACTAATGTACTAAATATACATGTAAAAGAAATATCCTTATATTAAAATAGGAAAGTAAAGTTGATGAAAACTGTCCTGTTGAAATTATACAATTAAAACAATCAAATTTGTCAACTGGTAAGGAAGGCTAGTCAGCTAGTTAGCAAATTTCTTAACAGTTGGGACTTGATTGTAATTTTTGATATCCCACCTTTACTAATATTTTTCATAAAGTATGTGCAAGAAAATAAAAAAGCACTGCCTGATTGATAACAGGGTGCCATCTTTAACAAAGCCCATTTGCAACTAGAAATGTTTTGAGATTTTTCGGAAAAGCTGGCTAACTTCCCCTTTGTTAAAAGTAACAGAAATTTTCCATTTGCTATTCAAGAGTTTGCAAGAGGAAAACTCAGGACAAACTGCTCACAAAGCAAAAGCAGCAAGGGTTATCACTATAGTAAGACTCACTAATAGGGGCTGCTGACCAAATGTTTAAGTTCAAGGGCATCCGCCATACCTCATGAGAAATGTTTGACACACGCAGGTTGGTGCTACAGTTCTCACCATTTCTTCTCCCCATTTTGTTGTAGCTGCTTCTCTGCTTCCTTAAAATCCTATACAGGTTGTAAGAACAGGCACATTTATGGATAAAGGTCAACATTTATGAAAAAGAAAGCATGTTATCTTAGAGGGGTACAGGTGAATCTTTCTAAGAGTAGAATGTGAACATTTTAAAGCAATAACTGAGAAAATGACATGAAGGCTGTGTTGACCAGTTTGATGGAAGTATTTCAGATTGCATGTGAAAACCCCACACTGTACCCCAGAAGTGCATTAATGTACATAGTTACCATTCAATAAAAAAAAAAAAAATAAAAAAAAAAAAAAGAAAAAGAAAGCATGAGCTTTGACTTCCTAACTAAAGAAGGTTAAGAAAATGCTTAAGCTGAAGAGGAACTTCAGGAGGGCATGGCAGGTGACAACATGAAATCAACCAGAAACAAGCAGCAAGCCAGACCAAAAAAGAACACAGACAAAAGTACATTGGAAGATTTAACTGACAATAGATTAGGAAATTAAGGTCCAGAGGTGAGGAAAGAGATAGCAGCTAAGAGGATGAAATACATGTTGGAAAAAATAGGGTGAATTATCTGGAACTTATAAAACAGGGCCATGAATCTTGTTTTAATCATTCAAAACAAGTGCTCCAGTTGAAAGCAGGGTTAATCTTAAATAATGGCACAGCAAGCACTCCATGCATGTTTCAGAAAACAAAAGGGTCCAAGGGACCAAACTATATTTTCCACACCAAACTACTATGATGCCTAAAACACTCACCACCATAAGGTAAAAGTATTAGAGAACTAACTATAGGACAAGCAGTAAAGGATTGAGGTATGGCTATCTGGAAAGAATCACAAATTAAAGCCACAGCAGTAATCAGTGTATTTGCTAATCATTTACAATTTATTGTCTCCTGAAGAGAAAGGTGTATCCTGAAGAAAGACGAGACATAGTTCAAGATTTGATCCACCTGCTGTATGTATGCCAGGCACTGGGTTTGAATGTAGGAGGAAGGAGATTGCCGGTTAGGTGGCGATGCCTGATGCCACCCTGGTGTGTGCCATGGAGGAGGGCGCCAGGAGACTGGAATAGGCCACGGTTCCTGGAGGAGGGGCCTGGAGACAAGGAGGCCTTCGTGACTGCGTGCAGGGAAATGAGGCCGAAGGGCTGGAGAGGGTGGGTGCCAGGCCCACGTGAGAGTGGACCCCCTTTCCCTCCAGGGCGGTGGCGGCCTCGCTGGGAAGCCCAGCCCACGGGCCGCAGGTGGGGACTCGCGAACCTTACCCTACGGCTCCACAGGCCCACGTGTCCTCCCGGGCGTCCTCTCCGAGGGCGCTGCCGCCCCGAGGCCGGAGCCCCTCCGCGTGCGGGGCGAACGGCTTGGCTGGCGCCGTCTCCGACTCAGCCTTCCTGCAGCGGACGGACAAAGAGGGCAGCGAGCGGTGTCCAGCCGCCGGCGCGGCGCCCTCAGCCGTGAAGGGCCTGTGCGGCCCGCGGGCCCGGGCCCCGGCCGGGGCCGGGGCCGGGGCCGGGCCCCGGGCCCAGACCGGGCCCAGAGAGGCCAGCCTCGCCCGGGGCTGTGGCTCCGCGGGCTTCCCCACCGGCCAGGTCGCCGGGCAACGACTGGAGAGCAGGGGCGCCCGGGGCGGCCCCGCGTTCCACCCGGTCCACCGGTATTCCGGGGCTACGGGTCCGTCGGTGGTCGCCCAGGCTCGGATCCTCTGAGGGATCATCCGGCCGCGGAGCCCTCGGGACGCACGACGCTGCCGGGCCGAGCACCCAATCTCGGGTTCTGCCCTTGCTCCCTGCCGGGCCCCCTCAGGGGCTGCTCTGCCCACTCGGCCATCGCGGGGTGGAGGGGCGCCCCGGGCTCCCCGCGCAAAGGCCTGAGCCTCCCCGGGCCTTCTCGCAGCTCCTCCTGCTTTCCCCAAGGCTTCCCGGGCCTCCTTGTGGTTCCTTGGCCTTCTAAGGCCCCCAGACTTTCTTGGGCCTTTCAGGGCCTTCTGAGCTGAAGGCTCCAAGTGGCAGCCAGTAGGCCTGTGGTATCCAGGGCTTGGCCCTTGGGCCTCCCCTCCATTGCCGGTTCCAATAAAGCCGGAAGGTTTGTCCTGCACATCTCTAGACTGACCACATAGAAACATGCATATATGTGTAAAGTTTTAACTGTGCTTATTATATATAACTTAGTAAATAATTAAAATGGAAGAACGGTATACCTGCTAAAAGCAAGCCCACCTCCGGTCACTTTCAGATCAGTCATCGGTCTTATAATGGAAAGAACAAATTTTATTCTTTGCTGATCTGGGATACATTTATATCGCGGGAGCCCCATTTTGTACCCCCTAATGCATGGAATCTGTACAGTTCCATTAAATAAGTGGAAAGAAAGGGAAAGGATATACCTCTCTATATAGCTCCACCTCCCACATCAGTTTGATATAGAGAAAAACTTAAAACTGGTTATGTATGTAAGTACAGTAAATGAATACTGAAAATGTCAGTTATAGTTTTTCTAATAAAGCATTGACATCAAAGAAGAAATTTTTTCAATCTTTTGCTGGTGATACCCTCATGTTCTGTCAGGTTGAACACCCAGCTCTAAATTCAAACCCCAAAACATTTCAATAAGCATCCAAATACACTGGTTCTTAACATTTAGGGTAGAGTTTTTCAAGCTTTTTAATCTCATGGCACACTTGAACCTATAGTTAAACTTACGCAGAACACTTAAATTATGTTGATCAAAAAAAAAAAAAAAAAAAGAACATGCTTACTGTGCTTTGAACTTCTTTTGAAAATAATTAATCATCTTTAAAATCATGGCACACTTAAAATCTTCTCAGGGCACACCAGTGTGCGACGGCACCCCAGTTGAAAATCACTGATCTAAGGGTTTGGGTTCCCATGTCCCTTTGAGAATCTTCCCACATATTCACTAACTGTTGAACACAATTTCAATGGTTTCTCTGATTTTTAACACCCGGCTCCTGTCTCCTGTATTTCTATTTTCCCTTCAGAAAGGCCTTCCCTTTAAAGAAGCCCTTTCCCACACACCTTACTCTATTTCATGACTTTATTTACTTTTTTTTTTGTGCAGTTTGTGGCCGGGGCTGGGTTTGAACCTGCCACCTCTGGCAGATAGGGTTGGCTCCCTACTCCTTTGAGCCACAGGTGCCACCGGACTTTATTTACTTTTTTATACTCTTTTATAGTTTTGATTGTTAATCTTACCTCTTGTCTGTTTTTTTTTTTTCCTTGCCTGTCTCTCCCCAGTAAAATATAAAACTATGGGACTAGGGCCTTGCCTGTCTAGTTCATTACTGTATCCTCATCATTTGAAAATTGTTCTGGTCTCTCTGGTTAAAATAGCTGTGATCGGCT